CGGGGGGGGGGTCGTTTTTTTTTTTGGTGTCTATGGGCGAGCCATATAGTGTATCTCTGTGTTGTGTGTTGCTCGTTGTCGTGCGTCTGATAGGGTGAGGGCGTGATTGCGTCCGGCACTAGTATTAGCGGCATGTGGCGATCTTCTTTTGGTGTTCTGAAGACGTTCTTTGTCTGAGCTCCAGCGGTATCAGGGTAAGGGTAAGCGTTAGCTCCCGCGTGGTGTTTGATTTTGGGTTGGGGACACCCACCACGCCACCTGCGTCCGTCAGCTTCGTTTGACGATCATTTTGCTGTCGCGCACAGCAGTCACGTAGTCGGACTTGTTTTTCCAACACAGCAGTTGGTTCTCATGGGGGCAGGCTGCCGCGCGTTACTTTTGTTCTTGTTCTATATCGGACTACAGCCCAATGTCCGCGAAGGTTCCCGACTTGCTGTTTTTCGTTCAGGCAGTCGTTGCTCTGTGTTTTGTCCTCCATGTAGATTTAGGCGCTCTTATTTTCAAACAGCTTTTCGTTCGGTTTTCTGTCCATAATTCTGCCCTGATTGCATTGGGACATTTTGGGTAGTTTTCTGAGGTTTGCTTTTGATCATGCTGATGAAACAGTGGATTGAGAGGGGGAGCGGCGCTCCTCGGATCGTTGTGCTCGCGGCACAAAGATTGAACAAATCACTTTCAACCACATGGAGTCTGACGCTGAAATTTGATATTGGAACTGCCTGTGGCATCCGGAAGCACAAACATGATGGCGTGGAAAGGGAACACACTACGGTGCACGACGGCAAAGCTATGTGCTTCACCGTAAATTATGACATCGCTCGAGCGGCCGATATATCGGCCCCACTACACGTATTTTCGACCAATATCACAGATACAGCGCGAATACCGCGTCGTTGCTACCTCACTTTGGTAGACGTCGAAGCTTCCCAGACCCAAATCTTAGCAACCACAATCACGTACGCGCCTGATGTTCCCAAATGGTAGACCTACGTATGAACCACCAGACAAGACGCCTTCGCCCTTCGAATCAGCAGTACAACACTTGCCATTCCAGTAGTAATTATGCAAATACCGCTGCGTATGCACAACCTCGAAAAGGTCATGCCCCCACTCAAAAAAAGTGCATCTCCCGGTCAGCTTTTACATGTCACGATGCACCCCCCACTCTAACTCGGCCTTTCGACTCGGTTGATCCTTTCAAACCTTGGACCCATGTTGTCTCCTCCCTGGCAGTTCCATGCCCATCAGCGGCACCCCCCCCACAACAAGTTAGTGCCGTGTTATGCATTCAGATCAGCCTTTCAAACTTGAAGATAAACACCTGAGGGACCTGGTAAAACGACGGTAAAAGTCCTCTATTCTTCTAGACATGGTGTTGCAAGAACCCCCCCCCCCACCCTTCCCCCCTCCCTGCATGTTNTCACGGCGCTTCGCGCTTGGTGATGTGAGAGCCTGGTCCGGTGAGAACCCGGCGTGCTCCGTCCCGGCTTTGTAGGGATGCGAGGTCAATGGTCTAACGACTACGGCATGCACGACTATGAGTACCCCCACCCTTCCCCCCTCCCTGCATGTTGGTCACGTGCGAAAGAGTTGGTATTCTATTGCGCCTTTTGTTCAAAAAAACACAGAGATATGAACACACAACCGCCTTTCTTTGAACAACGATCACATGCCAACACGCAAGACAACCGTAATGAGTTGACTAAAACTCGTTTAGCAAGAATTCGAGCTCCGCCCGGTTCTCTGTCTCGTCCCCCAGACGCAGCATAATTTTTTTCTCGAGAGCCTTGATCTTGTTCTCGCGCTTGATGCCCACAGCCTCCGCTTCCTTGAGCTCGACCATCCTCTTCATGTTTGCGCCTATGGTCTCGATGTGTGTGTTCGCAGCCTCTAAGGCGGCCAGGCCCTTCTTCTTCGTCTTAAGGGCTTCCTTCCGGGTTTCTTGGAAGTTCCTTGTCGGCCGCTGCTTTCCTCTCCTGCTGCTTCGGCTCAAAGCGTCGCCGTTGGGGTTAAGGCGCGACATCACCGCGGGGCTGCACACGGGGTTTTCAGAGTCCACGGTGACGTCCCCGCCCTTCCGCTTTATAGACGGCCCGTCCGAAGAGTCGAGGTGCTTCCACTCCGACGGGGCCCGACCGCTCCACGGGCTGTACGCCGCTGTGAGAAGCAGGAAGGGGAAGACCCACCACTCAGGCACCTCCTCGCCCTCGTGCTTGCCCTCGTCCCCGCCCTTATCCTGCTCTCGCTCCTGCTCCCGGCGGATGTTGGCGGCGGCGGCGGCGGCCAACGACATCGGCTTACTTCCCTGTTCCTGGCGGACCTCAATCTCAGTCAACGCCGCTTGCGCCGCCGGTCCCTGACCTGCAGGTGGACTCCCTGCTCTGTCAACGCTCTCCCCGGCGCCCGCCCCGGTAGCGGGGGAGCCGGCTGGGGAGCCGGCGG